CTGGGAAATTGTCCTGAGAAAATGATGCTTGACCCGTGGTCTGAAGAAGGAATAGGAGTTACCTAGTGCTTGGCAGGGGCTGGGTTGGAGAGAATAAGCTGAGAGAACAGCATTTGAGAGGCCCTGAGACCGAAGGGAACATGAAAAGATGACTGTGTGGCTGGGTTGGGTGTGAGGAGAATGGTGAGTGAGGAGCAGAGGAGGTAGGTGGTAGCCAAATGACCTCAGTTTGTAGACCCTGTTAAGGATTTAGATTTTTAGAGTTCACCAATGAAAAGCTTCAGAAGTGACTTAAACAGAGGAATGATAGCATCCGATTTACTTTTGTAAGAGATCACCCAGGCTACTGTGTGGAGGGCGGATTGTGAGAGGAGCGACAATAGATGCAGAGACCACTGGGCCAATTCCAGTGGTCCGGAGAAGTTGCTGGTGGAGATGGAGAGAGGATGACAGATTGGAGATTGATTGAAGAGGTAAACCTGGGAGATTGGATTAAGGATAACATACAAGGGATGTCGGGATGACTCCTAGGTTTCCACTGTCGTAAGTGGGTGGATGGAGTGTCAGGCACTGAGATAGGAAGATGTGTTTCATTCTGGACATTGTGAGTTTGAGGGGCCTTTGGGATCTCTCCAAGTTCTGTATTTCCAGCTGCCTCCTGGATACCTGTACTTGATTAATTTATCATAACCTCAAACTCAGGGTATCTAAAATTGACAATGTTAACCTTTCTCTAAGATCCCCTCCTATGTTCTTCACATCTCTTAGTGGGGCCACCTTCATCCCAGACACTTGGGCCTAAATCTGAGTCATCTTTGATTCTTCCCCAGTGGCTCATCTCCTTCTTTTGCTTTCTGCTCGGTCACTCTCCACTTTCAGATCCTCATAGCTTCTCACTTGCACTAAAACATTAGCTTCTAGGATTCCGAGGAATGGGCGTAGCGCTCTCCTTGGTGGTGCAGAGTGCTCAGTGGTGCAGAGTGCTCAGTGCTGCTAGATGCATCTTCATAAGGCGCCATTCTGTCATTGCATTCCTCTTCTCAAAACGCGTTCTGTGGATCCCAGTCGCCCTGGTCTAAGCTCTGGGGTACTCCCCAGGGAATCCCCCTGCTACCTTACCTTAAACCTGGACCGCTTGTTTTTTTATAAAACCTCGTGCTTTCCCACATGTGTAGCTGATATCACTGTTACTTGTTTTTAGAACACCAATCTCCAGCTGCTATTATTCCACCCTTTAAGGATCACCTTTGTCGTTGCCATCGCCACAGAACCTTCATGTGACCCAATCAATAAGAAATTGTCTTGCCCTCCTCTGACCTCTCATTCCACTTTGTCTGGATTTTTTTTTTTTTTTTGTGGCTCTTGGTACTTGCAACCTAGCATTGTGGCTATTCAGGTACACATGTCTTATCTCCCAGACTGGGCCCTGAGCTCTGTGAGGGCAGTGTCCACATCTTATTTATCTCTGCGGTCCTCAGCATCTGGTATAATTTCTGTTACTCAGTATACACTCCAGAGAGAGCGTGAATGAATGCATCTTTTTAGATGTTTTTTAATTTACTTCTCAACTATTTTAGATACTTGGAGGTACAGAGGCACAGAATTTTGAGTTAGAATGGACCTTTGAGAATCCTTAAATATTTAATGATGTTTAGATAGTGATGACTCAGGTTTCTAGAGAGTTAAGCTAATTTTCCCATTCCTGGATCTTCCAGTTTGGCCTGCTGGCTTATCTGATCTTGAACTTGTCATTTGGGGAGAACGTGGCAAGTAGCCTCATTACACCGTGGGTGCCTTTGGCCAGGAGCTGGCTAGTTCTCCTCAGTGTCCCATTTTCTGTTTTGTCTTGGGTCAGGCAATCAGAGCTACAGAATTCACTCTATAGAGGGACAAAGGATAGCAAAGGAGGTCTCGTCTCACTTTTAATTCTTCTGCTTTTTTTTTTTCCTTTTTTTGAGCAAGATTAGCCCTGAGCTAGCATCTGCTGCCAATCCTCTTTTTGCTGAGGAAGACTGGCCCTGAGCTAACATCTGTGTCCATCTTCCTCTACTTTATATGTGGCAAGCCTGCCACATCACGGCTTGCCAAGCGGTGCCATGTCCGCACCTGGGATCTGAACCAGCAAACCCCGGGCCACCAAAGTGGAACACGTGACCTTAACCGCTGAGCCACCGGGCTGGCCTCTGCTTTTTTGTTTTTCATTCTTGCTTCCATGTTGATATTAGAGTATCAGACTTTTATTTAGTGTCTAGTCTATGTATTTTTAGATGTAAGTTTGACATTTAGGAATACTGTTGAACCGGACACTCATAAATCTCAATATAATCTAAGCATAATAACAGACTACTTGATAGTATGTTTTTAATACCTAGATTATATTGAGAAGTAAATACATTATAATATGCAGCTATATGTGGACACAGTTAATTGAGTAGTGTCTTGTTTCTCTAGGCATTTGTATTTCAGTCATGTAGTGAGGTGTCTTCACCCCATGCCAACCGCTAAAGAATGCCTTATTATAGGTACCAACAGAAACACCTGCAGCTGCTTGCTAGAGCATACTGATCCACTATATTTGCAGAGCACAGTTGTATCTTCCAAATGCTAAGATATTCTCTGCTATAATAATAGTAATAACTTCATTGTTTTCTAGCTACCATGTGGTAGGCACCATGCTAGGTACTTTTAAACCCATTGTCTCTGATCATCCCTATTTTACAGGTAAATGTGGCTGAGAGATACAGTAACTTGCCAAAGTCATCCAGCTGATAACGTCAAAATTCAGATTTAACCAGTTTTGTCCAACTTAAGAGCTTGTGCTCTTTTCTTGACACCATGATAACCATACTCTTACACTTTTTAAACTTTTTATTTTGAAATAATTAGGAACTCTCAAGAACTTGGCAAAATAGTACAGGGAGGTGCTGTGTACGCATCACCCAGCTTCTCCAGTAACCATACTGCTTTATCAAAACCAGGAAGTTGATTGGCACCAGTCAGTTAACCAAGACTCTTGACTGTGCTTGAATTTCGCCAGTTTTTTTGTGCACTCATTTTTTCATGTTTTTTGTATACAATTCTATGACGTTTGATCCCATGTATAAATTCATGTAATTGCCACCAGCAATCAAGATGTACAACTCCTTTGTCACCACAAAAGAACTCCCTCATGCTGCCCCTTTATAGCCACAGCCTCCTTCCCCTCAACCCCTGGCAAGCACTTCTCTGTTCTCCATCGCTACAATTTTGTCATTTAAAGAATGTTATAAATGGAATCATACAGCACTTGATCTTTTGAGACTGGCTTTAGCCCCTCAGCATAATGCCCAGAAGATTCTGCCAGGTTGTTTCGTGTGTGTTTCCATAGTTCATTCATTTTTGTAGGTGAGCAATATCCCATGGCATGAATGCACCACGGTCGTATACTTTTTGACTTTCTAGAATGCCCATGAGCTATATTTATATTTCATGAAGAAATGGTTAGTTTTTTGTATTGTATTCTAAGGAGAAGGATTTAAAGTAAAAGAAAAACTTAACTTTATTTCTGTCCCCCAAAAGGACATCTTTTAAAGAACAAAAATTCAGTGAGCACCTTTTAAAGTTTTTCTTGATTTATCAAAGTTATCTCACACAGCATTAAAGAAAATATTGTAATTAAAAAGTTTGTGTAGGCCTTCCTATCTTTCTCCATATGAATATATATTTTATTTTATTGTAGTCACAGTGTATTTCGTATGCTGCTTTTTTCCACTTAAACTTATTTTCCCATGTACTGTAATTATTCTAGTAGCTGCATGTCTGTTCCATCGAGTGGACTAACTGCACTTTTCTCTACCCTGATGCCTACCGCTGGTTCTGTTGAGCATCTTCATGCATATAGCTTTTCCTCCTGGTGCCTGATAGCTGCAAGATAAGTTCTTAGGAGTGCAGTTGTGGAGTGAAAGGGTAGGACCATTTTTATGGCTCTTTTGATGTGTGTTCCCAGACCTTGGCTTGAATCTCACCCCTTCCCCCATGTTTAGTAAGCAAGTTACTGAAGCCTTTTAAAGCCTTGGTTGCCATGTCATGAAACAAGGATACTTCACCTATGTCCAGAATGGTCGTGAGGATAAAATGAGACGATGCGTGCAAAGCCCCTGTGGCAGTACCTGGAACAAACAAGGTATTCCATACATGGCAGCTGCTTTAATCTTGTTGCGATGATTGTGGTGTGACTTCACTACTGTGATTCCGTCGCGCCATCAGTCTTGTGGACCCCTGGCACCCAGCACTGGATAAGGATCGGTGGAGAAGCATTGTTAGGTGTTCAGGCCCTTCTCCTTTGGGAAGTGCACCCATGGCTAAAATAGGCACTACTTCCAGATGCTTCGTTTCTAGTACAGGAATACAGACATGTACATTCATGGCAACAAGGCAGAGTGAAGCGAGTGGGGTGACAGCAGACTGCATCAAGTGTTGTAGGACTTCCAAGGAGGAAGCGATTAATTCTGTCTGATCTAATGGGGAAGCAGGGCTTCGTGAGAGGTGATGCTTGCTGAGCCAGGGCTTAAGCCATGGGGAGAATTTTGGTAGTTGGGAGAGCTAGATCATCCTAAGCAAAGGGAAGACCAGGCACAAAGCACAGAGGCCTGATTGTAGACGAAATGTTTGCAGAACGGTGAGGTGGTCGCTTGCGGCGCACAGAATGTTGTGGGAGAGCAGCCTGCAGAGACAGGCTGGAAGCGACATCATGGGGCCTTTGAATTGTGTCCCTGGGCATTTAGTCTTTATTCTGTAGGCAATGCAGAATGGCAGATGTTTGGGGATGCATTTTGGTTGCATCGTTGACTATCTTAATGCTTGCTCTTTCGTGTGTGATCTCTGTCATGCTTTTGTTCGTAAAAAGTGGTAAAAGGGCCAAAGTAAAAATGACCTGAAAGCATACGGTTGTTTTTTATATGTTTTTGAAGTCCGAATTAAACTGACAGAAATACTGACTTTTGTGTTTTTGTTCATTACAGGATTCTGCTCTCATACTTGATGTTCCTCTGGGTGTGATCTCGAGAATTGAAAAAATGGGAGGCGCGACAAGTAGAGGAGAAAATTCCTATGGTCTAGATATTACTTGTAAAGTAAGAGATTCAGTACTTTCTTATGCAAAAAAAGGCACATTAGTGTTGAATGATAAGTAAAAACTTAATGTGGGTTTAAAAAAAACATCAAAGACCCCTGTTATCTAAGGCGTTGGCATGGTTCTTCCCTCATGATCAAGCTTTCCCAAACTGCCTGGGGAAATAGTTGCTATAAAAGGGACCCTCTGTTGTCACCAAGTGTGAGGGCTCTAACTGGTCGTTTGTTAGCTTGACTGAGTGGGAGGAAATCTTTATAGATAAAATTTCACACTTTTTAGTTTTTGTCCCAGCTTACTTCATATGATGTGTTACCAGCTAGACACCTTCACCCCGTGACAGGAAGGAGTACTACAAGAGCTCTCGCCCTCTGTGAACAGGATGTACTCTGACCTCTAACGACCTTTCTAACTTCTGTTTAGAGGTAGTAGCCTGACATTTTGTTTTGGCATGGTGAGCGGTGGAGATGTAATGATACAATGTACTCAGTTACAGTAGTGATCGTTACTGAGCATCTCTGTCAGCCCAAACAGGGGCTAAGAGCTTTACGTTTAATCCTCAGAGAGGGACAGTGGTGTCCCCATTTTATAGATGGAGAGCCTGAGGATAAGGACAGTTGGACAACTTAGCTAAGATTATCCAACACTTGGCAAAGTTGGGGTGCAAATACAGTGAGATAAGCATTTTGAAAACAAAAGAATAAACTTTCTGGCAAGAAAACTTGCTTTCCAGGCATTGAGTATCAGAAGAGTACAATCCGTAGAAAAATACCCAATCCTAGAAAAAGCTAGAGGGCATTTGGAAGTCCCCTGTCCTAGTGGTTCTCACGCCTGCTTGCGTATCAGGGTAAGCTGGGAAACCTTTTTTAAAAATTTAGATCTTTGGGTTCTACTCCAAATCCTACTGTAAGATAATCTCTGAAGGCTTGGGCCCAGAAGGTTGGGCCTCTTTCAAGTCTCTCCAGTGACTGAATGATCAGTCTAGTACCAGGGTCAGCACACTTTTTCTGTCAAGGTCCAGATAGCAAATATTTTAGGCTTTGTGGGACAGTAGGATCTCTGTCATACGTTCTTCTTTGTGTTTTGTTTTTTCAACCCTTTTAAAATATGAAAGACATTCTTAGCTTGAAGCCCATACGAAGAGTGACATGGGCTAAAGTTTTCTGACTCCTGGCCAGTCCAAGTCCTTCATTCTATGGATGGGGAGATGCGGCTTTGCTAAGTAGGATTACTTGCCTAGGGTTGCGCAAGGAGCCAGTGGAAGAGCCAGAGTTCAAACCCAAGTCTCTTTTTCCTAGTCTTATGCACTGTGATTTCTTAAAACCAATCTCCTATCCTTTTGTTTGGATTATGAATACAGTATTGTTTGTCTCCAGTTTATAAAAGATCAAGACTAGTTCACTATCAGAAACCGGAGGATTATGTCATTGTTAGACTTGAATTGAAATTCTCCATTATTCCCCACCTTGGCTTTTTTTTGGTTTTTGTTTTAATCTGAGCTACCTTAATGCCTTATCTACAATACCTTTATAAGGCCTTATGTATCTACCCTTTGGGGCCTAGAAATACGGGGATTTACGTTTAAGGGAGGGTTTTGCATTTTGCATTAAAGGACATGTGGGAGTAGAGTGTTATATTACAGTACTCAAGGGAAAATGGGGTTGCTATTTTGATGAAGTGACTTTCATTCTAATACATTTTTAAAATAATCCTATTTGTTACTTTATCAATAAGAAAAACTTGTATTTAAATATTAATCCCCCCAAATTAATAAGACAGACCACATTCTTACCCTTTGGCTGTTTATTCTAAGAACAAAGGACTCAGGAACAACTGACCAGGCCTAATTCTCAAGTGTGACATATGTGTATTTCTTGGAATTAGCACTGAGCCCAAAGACGATGGCCTAGAACAATGTTGTAGCACAACCTTTTAACCCAATTATCTCCCTGGAAACGCCGATGTCTCAAGAGGCGAATTCCATTTTCTCAGTAACAGGCCTGAAGTTGATAGACAGGGAATCTGCTACAGTGGGATAGACTCTCTCTTCTCTCCTCTCTCTCATAGGTCAGCTTTCATCTGCAGTCAATAACCATAATAACAGTTGCGTTTCTTTCCCCAAACAAATAGTTATAATTCCCTACAAATTTGGTTCTACCAGTTCTGCGTATGGGCATTTCTGCTTGCCAGTAGCAACTTTCACATGGCGGATGTTGTCCCAGTGGATGTTGTCTAGCAACAGAGGAGAAGGTAGCTCTGAATGTGTGAATTCTTACCACCAACACCCGCCCTAGCCCCATACCAGGCCCTGCTGACACCTCGGAGCTTTAACAACAAAGCAAAGCCAAAACATACCACCACAAAGTCTTCTCTCTTCTTCCACACCTCACCCCCATGTACTTGGTTTAAAGAGAGTGTATTTTGAAGTCAGCAGTGATGGGGGTTGTTTTTTAGAAATGCATTATAGAAATGATGCCTCAGTAAATTAGTCCTTCAGCATTGTTGATATGGGGGTGTGTTCACTTCTACTCATTTATTATAGCAAGTCTTGGTGCATTGCCATATGACCCAGTTGTTAAATAGGCCGAGGGTCTGACTGCGAGACTCATGCCACAACACAACGCTCTTTCCCAGGTGTCCTTCCCTGTCGAGCCAGGCCCTAAGGAGACCAGGGGGAACATACCAGTTAGTAGATGCTCATATTTCTGTTACAAGTTTGGTGACCTGCCACCTGTGAGTCATTTGCCTTTTCCACTTCAATTTTCTTGTTGGCAAGATGAGATAGTAATTCTTTCTGTCCTTTAATTACATCGAATCCAATGACAAAAAGAAGTTGCTTGAAGCCCTTGTGCTTTGGCACATTGAAAGTAGTTGTTTTGAATCACTGATAGATCAGAATAAATATTTATCTAGAAATGGTCTAATTTCTGGCTGAGTGATTAAGAGGATGATGTTACAGAGTTATCATCTGACCCAAGGCTGTTAGGAAGACAGTGGCTCACAGGTCTTTGAGCCCTGAGGATCCCTGGCTGTCCCGTACTGTACTTGGGGCTCATTGCAAACCCTTTAAAAGCATATCATCTTATTGCAATGATTTTTTTCCTTCTGCTTGACTAGTGCTTTGCTTCATGAGCCAAAAACTCATATCTCAGTTTTCTTTTTTTAAAAAAGATTTTATTTTTCCTTTTTCTCCCTAAAGACCCCCAGTACATAGTTGTATATTTTAGTTGTGGGTCCTTCTAGTTGTGGCATGTGGGATGCCGCCTCAGCATGGCTTGATGAGCAGTGCCATGTCCACACCCAGGATTCGAACCAGCAAAACCCTGGGCCCTTGAAGCGGAGCGTGCGAACTTAACTGCTCAGCCACAGGGCTGGCCCCTCAGTTTTCTTGAAATATGTTGTGAATTGGTTTTTGGATTTTATTCAGTTACATGCTTTTAAAAATGAAAGCACAGAATCCTGGAGCTGGCAAGGCCCAATAGATACCATCTGTATGCAGAGTGATCAATCTTGGGTGGTTCCTTAGAGTCTAGTTCTTTACACTTCCTTCGCTGCTGCTTGCATTTTGGAATGTCTTGTGTATGTCAAGGCCTTTGGTGGTCCTTCACAGTAAAGACTTAGGAAGGTTTAAGAGTGCTCTTGAGATAATAAATGAAAAATCACTGAGAAATATGAAGATTGTGACATCTAAGAGAACATGGACTGGGTCTGTCTCACTCCTGAAGAATCCCAAGGGCCCAGCGCTGTGCTCAGTTTCCTGAATTGAAAGTGCACTGCAGAATGGAGCATTTTTAGTGCTCAGCCATCACTCAGTCACAGCACCATGATTGATTTAAGAGGCAACCTAAAACCTCTAGCTTTGAAATTAAGATAGACTGTTATATATTTTAATATATAATACAAATTGATATTTAAGGGAACTTATTTTGTTTGGATTCAATTTAAAAGGATGTTTTCCTGATTATTAAAGAAATATGTACTGGAAACTACCTTTAAAATCTGATTTCAAGCATTAATTTTTAGTACCTGGAAGCATAGTCACTCCTAATATGGAGTACTTTAATGTGGTTTATCTAGAACTCTGTGAAAGTAAAATTGTATAGTAAAAGTATATTATATTACTTGTAATGAGAGCTTAAAATGCCAGTCATTTCCTAATTTTTAAGTGAGACTTTACAGTAAAAGCATGAGGAGAGAGGGAGAGCTTCTGTATTTTAATGACATGTTTGACAATTCTGAGATTATATTTGATAGCAGATACACATTTGAGAAGTTCTATGAATAAAATACTGCTTTATTATTAAAATACCTTGGAAAGCAGGTAAAGTAGGTAGACGCAGAGATGACGTGCAAGGCAGGGATTGATCTCTCGTTAGAAAGTGCACATCAGCTCTCTCTTCTCTGGAGCACGGGCTGCCTTGTCTGTGTTCACGACTATCATGGGAATATTTTCAGGTGTTCTTAAACTGGATATTTCAAAATATCATACAAAACAAAGTTGTTTTCTTAGTAATCTAGATGAATTGCCCTTTCAGGTAAGTGCATCTTCTTCTCCCTTCGTTGACCAGAAGAGTTTTTGCTAACAAAGGTGACTTTGTTTGAAGACTGAACTGTCGAATTTCTCCTCTGCCTCCTAGGACATGAGAAACCTGAGGTTCGCACTGAAGCAGGAAGGCCACAGCAGAAGAGATATGTTTGAGATCCTCACGAGACACGCCTTTCCCCTGGCCCACAGTCTGGTAAATTCCAGGGTTCTCCTCAGTGTCTTTCATTTAGTCTCTGTGCTGCGCTTCCCGGTGTGATGTGTGTGCGAGGGTGTTTATTAAAGACGATCGAACCATTCCCAGAGGGAGTAGGCCTCTCCTCTGCTGGGCTGTGTGGGATGGCTCACCCCAGTGACTGAACTGCAGTGCCCGTGAGGCACATCGGAGCCCCGCACGAGCCTGGGAGCTCCACCCAGAGCTGGTTGTGCTCTCCCCCGCTGAGCGCGCCCTCAGTCATGGCCAGCCCCCTTAAAAAGGCATAAGGTAACGAGCGGGACCGTGGGTGCCATAGTGCAACACTGGGAAGTCACACCCCAGAGTTCGTTCCTCTCAGCTTAGGAGCTGACGAGCGGTGCGTGTCAGGCTTTTGCGGCACCTGTTCTAAATGGGAACAAGTCCTCTGAGCTCTAATGCCATTTAAGCAAAGGCGCTTCTAAAATCCAGATACGTTGTCTAGGTACTGCAGGCAGTTGCTGAATAGAGCAGGTTTATTTTTTTAAAAGAATGACATTTTAGGTGTTATTTGCTAGTGTTTAGTATATATTTGGCAGGACAGACTTATTATGCATTTAATTACTTACAATTTATGACTTAGTAAATAACAAGCTTCGGGATGTGTATACCTAGAACTTTTCCTTCCCGTTCACCAGACTGCAGGAGTAATCTTACTTTGTTTCACCGTGTGACTGAGATAAAGCTTTCCCTGCATCTTGCTCTTGAACAGTCTTCCTTTCTAGTCTGGCTTCTCCTTGCCTTCTGTTTTGCTGTCATGCCTTGCTTGCATCTTCTTACCCCTCTTCTTCTCCACTGCTTGACTCTACACAAACTTGGAGGTAAACACCTGCTAAGGGGAAAGCAAGGAAATCATTCTTTTAAAAAATATATATATAAACACCTTTAAGTATAGGATAAATATGCTACTGGCTAGACTGAAGATGATGAAAGAGGTCATTCAATAGAAGAGGTGCTTTGTAATGTAACTCTTCTTCCTGTGGCTTTTAATTTTTTTTTTTTTTTTGGAATAAAGGCCTGAGATTTTTTTCTAGTGAGATGAGGCTTCTCTCTTCCCAAATTTCATTGGCAGTTGTTTTAGTCAAGGGAAATTCATGGTTGACGGAAAGGACACTTATACAAAGACTGTGCAACTCCAGAAGGATATGAAGTACTCATCATGAGTCACGTATTGATTATAGATGCAAACGTAATGTTTAATAACAAATGCAATGATATCATAGAGTTGAATACATTTTCAGCCTTTTCTCAGTTTTTGATTAAATATGTGATTTAAGAGATATTTCAGTATTAAATACTTTCTAACTATTGGGATAAAAAGAGTTTTATGGGAACACATCTTCAAAATTATTCTGACAGTGAGAATGTAAGTCTAATCCATGAAAATTCAGTTAGGGAATGTATTCTGTCTTGGGTTTTGTATATCTGGCCCTAAATTATCAGAAATTTAAAGAATGGCTCATATAGCAGGTTTGAAGGAGCTGAGGCCCCAGCCCCTCTCCTACAAGATCTTCTTTCTCCATCAGCCATCCCCTTTCTCTGGCACCTTCTGTCTCTTTTAAGGTTTACTCCCTTAAAAAAGTCAAGTCTTGACCTAGCTTTCCCCTAAACTACTGTCCCATCTCTAACTTCAGTCCAGGCTTCTGGAAAGAATAGTTTATCCTCATCTCTAGTTCATTCATTGCTCCAACCCATTCCAGTATCCAGCTTTATTGCAGGCACCTTCTTGGAACTCAGGACCTCTTACTGGCCAAATCTAGTGGCTCACGTCAATCTTCATTCTGTTTGATTTCTCCCAGCATTCAACAAGTTTGACCACCGTCTTCTTGCAAGCCTTGGTTTCTGTGTTACTCTACCATCTTGACTGTTCCTCCCCACCACACAGGATTGCCATGTGCTCCTCTGGTATACATAGGACTTTCTCAACTTGGAGTCTTTGGTTTTCCTATCCTCTTTACCTGAAGTCCCCTTGTCTCTTTAAACCCCGTCCTCCACCATCTTGCTCAGTCCTAGGTTCTTTTCCGTGCCATGTGCGTTTCCCCGGTGGGAGTTCATCTTACCTCTCATTTGCTAGACTTTGCAGGTCCCTCTGTTAGAGCACCTATCTCAGTCTGCCTTATGGAATAATTACGTAGTAATTGCCTGTCCCCCCTGCTATCCTGTGAGCTTCTCAAGGCAGGGGTCAGCATTTCTTTATCTCTCTAGCCTCAGCATAATGACTTCTGCATAATGTATAATGACACTTTTTTATTCAACTCCGGTTTAGTAGAAAGTGGAGGAAAGATCCATTTTAGGAAAACAAATGGGGTAGATTTCTGGATCTAGCACCAGAGCTTGGGATTCTGGATTGCTGTCATTGGAGTGGTCCACAGAGGGGTTGATTTCTCAAGTCTGTGGTACTTTGCTTATTTTTCATATCTGAGCTGGGAATCCCTACTTCTTCCTTTAGGAAATCAATAAGTGACACACTGGAGAAAAAAATGTGAACTGAATTGCTCATACAAAGTTTTGGAAAATTACATTCTTTAAGTTTTAACCACTAAAAGTCATCTTTAAAAAAAGTTAAACTAGTTACCAAAACAATACAAGATACAGATAAAAACAGATCAGCTATTGACATGGCTTTCCGAATATTAGTCCCTGCTAGTCCAGTCAACATGCGCGGTGTGTCATAAATCGAGTTTGTTTCAGGACACTGTGTTGGATGGTGTCGGGGAGCCGTGCGGACAGATGAGAAGTAGTGCAGGATGGATGATACCTAGTCCCATTTGGTGATGTGACAGAAGTGATAGGACAAGTGCATGTGGCCCTGATATAGGATAGTTTACATTCAGTGATGTAAGAGAGATGCAGAGGAAGTCGACTGGGAAGTCACAGGAAGAAGAGCACATCCAACCTAGATTGGGAAAGCCTGCCTGGAATTGATAGCTGTTTAGGTTGGGCCTTGAAGGATATTCATTTCCAGTGGGCGAGGATGGTGGAGGAAGTGGAATTGCAGGTAAAGGCAAGACCCTGACCCTCGACATAATAGAGGGAAAGCTGGAAGCATTGCGGAGTGTCTATGAGGGTAGCCAGTGATGTTTGGCTGGAGCATGGGGAAGAGGAGCAGATCTAGGGTCATCCAGTGAAGGGTCTTGCTGGGATAAGGAGCTGGTGCTTTGGGAAGTAGCAGAAACAAGTGATAAGAATGAATACACCCTGAAGAACAGATGGGAGAAGAGAGCTCATGAAGCTAGGGAGGGGAGGCAGAGGGCCTGGCGAGAGGGCCCGAGGAGGAAGGAATGATGAGCTCTGTTTTGTTCACGTGGCAGTTGGTGTCTTTTGACAGAATTTACAGCAGCAGTTGCAGGCCTGTCCCTCAGAAAAGAGTCTAGAGATGTATATTTAGAATTGTGGTTCTTAATCTGTTTGGAATCATGGATTCCTTTGATAATATGGTGTAAATTATGGTTTCCCATCTCCTGAAAAGTGCACTTATGTACAAAACTTTATATAAAATGTTGGGTGACTCCAAGCCCCTCTGAAGCTCATCTGTGGGTCCCAGGTTAAGTAACGCTGGGGTGCAGTAGAGAAGTCCAAACGAGATCCTTGGGGAAGGGCAGCTTGTAGTGAGCCAAGATGGGAAGGAACCGGCGAAGCAAACGAGAAGGGTTGGAGAGGTGAGAGAAGAACCTGCAGGGTGCGGTGGGCAGAGGGCCAAAGGCAGAGGGAGGTTAAGAAGATGGCCCTGGGTGTGCGACACTGTGGAGGGTTGAGGAGAGGGGAGGGTCAGGAGGAGTCCTTCAGAGATGATGATATTGAGCTCCCTGGGGACCGGACCCTGTAACTCTGAACTGCTTGAGGTTGGGACCTTCTTTCCTTCTCTTTGTATCCCTGCTGCCTAGTACAGGGCCTGGCATACATTTGGTGACCCTTTTTGAATCCAGGAAAATGATCTGAGTGGAGAGGACAGAAGCCAGTTTGTGGGGGCTTAAAGAGAGAGTAGGTGGTGGTTAAAAAAAGAACAAAAAACAGTGGTAGCAGCCAGGTTGAGAGAAGACGTGTTTTCCTTAGAATCTGAGAAAGGTGAGTGAATATATTTGTGGGCAGGGCAAGGAGTCTTGCCTCTTTTTGAGGCAAGAGAGAGAAGGGCTCCTTTCTTGAGCAGCCTCCTGGGGAAGGCAGAGGGGGATGGGATTAAGCCCAGTTTGTGGGGCAGTTTTGGAAAGGAGAAAGGACAATTATTCCTCTGAGACAGGAGGGGAAGGAAAGTTTCCAAACTGCCACAGTGGGGAATGCGAGAGTGGGCCAAAAAGGGATTTCCTGGAAGCGTCATGTAAGCCTGATTGCATTGAACAATACAAAGGGCCCCTGCCGGAAAAATGGCACTTTGTTAATATCAGGGAAACTGTTAAACCAGCTGCAGATTATCCCAGTGGTTTATATGGGCATTCGAAGTCAGAAGTAAACTTGCTGTTGTATCCTTGAAATGGCGTCCAGAGGCCTGGAGAGCTGGGTTCCAAATCCAGCCATGGGGTCAGAGTGGGCTTTTCCTTTCAGACCACCCCTTTGGCTCTCTCTTGCCTCCTTCCCCATTAGTATTTTCACCACTCAGTGTGTTCAACTTTGAATGGAATTGAAGCAGTGTTGCCACACACAGTCAACGCCAAACCGTTCACTTGACTGTGTAGTGTGTCAATCCAGTAAGACTTGAAAACTATTCAGATGACATTTTCTATTTCAGCCAACGCATTTGTTTTCTTGTTTTATTTTTGCTTTGCTTTTCAAAAACAAGAAATTGTACCAATTTCTCAAACTGCTTTGTAACTCCATACGAGTTTTAGGTAAATGATACATTTTTATATGTGGAATGCTTATGATGTGATGGTAATTTTTTTTTAAAGCAGGAACAAAAATTGTGTACATACGAACAGAGCCTGATAGCGCTACAGAAGAATAGAGTTTGATTGTTAGGGTGGAGCGGT